AAAAAAGTAATCTGCCTTAGATATAAAGAGCACCTTGATACTGATAGGGAAAAGGCCAACAATCTAAGAAAATAATTAACGTATATAAGCAGTTCATAGAAAAAGAAATACAAATCACTCTTAAACATAAAATGCTTATTCTTATATTCGTATTTCTATAAGAGAAACACAAATTAAAAACCACACTGAAAAAAATCAATAGATGCATTAATCAAGTGCAATGTGGAGATGTTTAGACACAGATTTGAACAAACTGTAAGCAAGGGCAGAAAGACATTTGAGGTAACTGAGAAAATGTGAGCACTAAGATACATCAATTGATATTAAAGACTTTGTATTGGGGGGGTAGGACTGGAGCTCTAATACAGTGATAGTTGCATGATTAGAATGTGCAAAGGTCCTGGGTTCAATTCCCAGCACCACAAAAAAAAAACTAAGTTTTGTTAGTGCAATAATGGCATTTTGTTTTTAAAGAAAGGCTACTAAGAAGCTGGGGTGTAGCTCAGTGGTAGCGCTCTTGCCCAGAATGTATGAGACTCTGGGTTTAATCCTCAGCATTATAAAATAGTAATAATGACGATCATGATTACTAAAAATACATATTGAGGCATTTAAAAAAAAACTACTAGAAATATATATTGAGGCCATTTGTAGATGAAATTATGTCAAGCACTTAAACAAAACTTAGTGGAAAAGGGATAGAGAAGTATGCAGTATATATGCAAAACAAGGCAAATTCATTTGAAGGCCAGATACTGACAATAGTTGCAGATGAGTGATGGATTTAGAAGAGTTCATTATATTATTTTCTTTACTTTTGTACATGTGTAAAAGACCCTAAAATAAAAAACGTCAAGCCTTAAATGAGAAAGAATGTAAGTTCATACTTCAAAAAACTCTAGATGAATACACACTCAAAAATGGTTACTTAATTGTACTGAGGGTGATGCTTTTTGCTGTTTACTCTGTATTTTAAAAGTGTCTGAATTATATTTAGGAAAAAGCTAAAATTACAAATTAATGAAGAAAACAATAATGACCATACATGGTTTCCTAAATGAACATTATTTCTCCCTGGTTGCATCATCAATTCTATATGTAGAATGTGGCTGGAGGCATGGCTCAAGTGGTAGAGTGCCTGCCTAGCTAGCACAAGGCCCTGAATTCAAAAAAAAGAAAAGAAAAGAAAAGCTGGGCACTTACACAACGTGTAAAATTATTCAACTCAAAATGGATCAAATACCTAAATCTATCAGCTAAAACTAAAATTCTTAGAAGAAAACTTACGGTAAAAGCTTCATGACATGGGATTTTGAAATGATTTCTGGGATATGACACCAAATGTATAGGCAACAAAAGGAAAAACAGCTAAGTTAGACCGTACATTGATACTAAAAACTTCTGCACATTAAAAAAGTGAAAGGACAACCCATGGAATGAAGAAAATATTTCCAAATCATTTATTTGATAAGCCGAAATATTGAAACCACTGCTATAATTCAACAACAAACACCTGATCAAAAAATAGGCAAAAGAAGGGTTGGCAGAGTGGTTCAAGTGGTAGAATGACTGCTGCTAACTAGCAAGTGTAAGACCCTGAGTTCAAATCCTAGTGCTGCCAAACAACAAACAAAAAAACAGGCTGGGTGTCAGAGTTCCCACTTGTTGTCCAGCTACCTGGGAGGCAGAGGTAGGAGGATTACAGTCCAAAGCTTATCTAGACTGAAATGTGAGACCTTATCTGAAAAATAAACTAAAAGCAAAAGGAATGGGAGTATGGCTTAAGTAGCAGAGTACAGAGACCAAATTTAATCCCCAGTATTGCTCCCCCAAACTAATAAAAAAAAAGTAGAGAAAAGACTGGAAGATACACCAAAAAGCACATGGACACTCAACATCACTACTCATTAGGGAAATGTAAATCAAAACCACAGTGAAATACCATTTTGCATTCACTAGGATGGCTGCCCAAGAGAACTGACAGTAGGGGCATGAGAGATTTGTTCACATTATTCAAAACAGCCAAAAGATGGAGGCAATCCCAATGCCCATAGACAGATAAATGCATAAACAAAATGTAGTACAGACACACAGTGGAGTATTACTCAGTTTTTAAAAGGAAAGAAATTCTGAACATGAATGATCCTGGAAAGCACTATTCTATGTGAAATAGCCAGTTTCAAAAGGATGACCATTAAATGGTTCTACTTACATGAGGTACCTAATAAGTGAAATTCCTAGAGACAGAAAGTAGAATGCTGGTTGCCAGAAACAGAGGGGAAAGGGAGAATGGAGAGTTATTGCTTAATGGTACAGTTAGTTTGTTAAGCTGAAGAGTCCCAGAAATAGATGGTGCTGGTTGTTGTACAACCAAGTGAATGTACTTGATGCTATTGAAGGGCACACTTAAAAATGGTTAAAAGGCAAATGTTAAGTGGATTTTACCATAATTGTTTTCAAAAATGAGTGCCTCATCAAACCAGAGATGGAAACTAAGAACTTTCCATGATATTTCAACAGTTTGAGTTTTATTGTAACGGTCATTCCCTTTCTATTTCCTCCTAGAGATTATCTCTTCAAAAACCATAAAGGGAAGCAGGACTTGGAGGTGTACACCTATAGGCTCAGGGCTTGGGGGACGGGGGGAAAGCAGGAGGATTCCAAGTTCTGGGCCAGTGTGTGCTTTTTCAAAAAAAAAAAAAAAAAAAAAAAAGAAAGAAAAAAAAGTTAGGTGTGGCAGCTCCTAGCTACTTGAAAAGTGGAGACTGGGAGAATCATAGTTTAAAGCCAGAACAGGCAAAAAGTTTGTGAGACCCCCATCTCAATCAATAAAAGCTGGGGGTAATGGCATGCACCTGTCATCCCAGCTATTCAGGAACTACAAATAGAGGAGGATGGAGATCCAGACCAGGCTGGGCATAAATACCAGGCTCTACTTGGAAACAAACAAACAAACCTGAAGCAAAGAGCTGGGGGTGTGACTCAAGTAGTAGAGTGCTTGTCTAGCAAGTCCAAAGCCCTAAGTTCAAACCCAGTACCATATGGAAAACAACAAAAAGTATGTACACACACATGCATACCACAAACATATAAAGGGAATAATAAAAAGCAATCAGCATATGAAATCTCTGCTAAAAGTTTTTGTTTTTTGTAGTATCCATTATCTGTAGTTTGGGTGGCCCACAGCAGGCACTGATAAAACATTATGGTTGCTGCTTCAGAATGACAGCAACTAAAACATACTGCTACTATATGGCACACACTTCCAAATGGTCTAAACATACATAAGTTATTTAACACAGTATGAAGTAGATATTATTAGTATATGTATTTTATACAGGAAGAACGTGAAGCACTATAAAGTTTAAAAACTTACACAAAGCCACCATATGTATTATGGTAGAGATAGCTTTTAAACACTGGCAGTTTAAATCTAGAATTTATGGATTTAATCACCGCATCTCATGCTTCTTTCTCAATGTAGCACTATTTAAATCTACTCACAATCAACAAAAGTAGGCACTCAAAGTGAAAGTTTTAGAGTTAATCCCAAAGATAGGAGTGATATGGTATATACATACCATAACTGGAACTTACCTACTTTTCTAGCATCACATCTCATCTACTTCCCCAAAAGACTGCCATCACCCACTCCATTTTCTCTTAGAGGTATCTCAAACTGCCTACAATTTCTTGAATAAAATCAAGCTCCTACTGCCAAACTTTTACATATGGTGTTCTGTCTACTCAAGAAATTCCCTCTCTTCCTCCTCCCGCCATCATTATTGCCTGGCTAATTAGACTTACCTAACTATAAGGCCTGGTCTGACAGTAAACCACATTGTGGCTCTTCCCTTATGTTCGCAGATAACATGGTATGCTGCATTAAAATTCTAGATTAGAAATTCCCTTAAAACTAGGACTCTATACAATTCATTTTTGTTCACAAGGCCTGGCACATGGTAAATACCCAAAATATATTTCTTGAACAAATGTCTTCTAGTAAGCAGGGGCTTGGAAGATTACTTTGGGGATTCATATTTCAGAATACATTAATTCATGATGATATTATCATCATGAAGTTCTGTCAGAGACAATTTACCACGGGAAAGTTCCAACACAGCCTCATATACTACATTTTAGATTCAGGTAGACAAGTTTTAAGGATACTCCAGTGATACTGTTAGGGCTGGCAGAGTGGCTCAAGTGGTAGAGCACCTGCCTAGCAAGCGTGAGGCCCTGAATTTAAACCCCAATACCGCCATTAAAAAAACCAAAACCAAAACCAAAAACCAACTCCAGTGTGCTGTTAAAGATACGTTAACACTACAGTATTAAACCTATGGTTGCAACAAGAAATCAAGAAACAACTGTGAGACTGGGGACGTAGGTCAGTGGTAGGCTAGTATCCACAAGGCTCTGGGTTCTTCCCAGCACCACCAAAAAAAAAACAAAAAGAAAAAAATCACAGAAACAATTATAATCTGAAGCATTTCTCACATGCAGAGAAAGTGTATTGAACATTAAACATCAGAAGTATGCTGCAAATAGGTTTCCAAAGGTTTGTCAGATAACTGAAGTAGTATTTTTACATTTATAAATAATCCTGCTAGTAATTTTACAAAAGAAAATTAAGCATGGCCGTTATGTAACTTGGCTAAGATTACAAAGCAAGTAGGCAAATGAAATTAGAATTCAAGTTCAGGTCTTCAGTCAATAATACCTCTTTTTCATCACCCCAATACATATTACCCCAAATAAGAAACCACAAGTTTGTAATAACTGTGTTGTATATAGCTGTTTATAGTTAGAAAGTAATAATTCATCCATAAAAATAAATCACAAAAAATTGTAACAGGAAATGTCCCTTAAAGATAGGACATTTGAACCTAAACAAAGTTAACCTCTTCCTTTTATTAATGTATAAAACTGTCATACCAAGTCAGTTATTGCTGTTATGGTCCCAATAAAACACTGCTGTGTTTAAGAAAAGATTTTACCTTGTACTTCTTTATCATGATACTCCTTTAGTTTTGTCCAGATGTCCTTAAAGTCATTAGATATATCTGCAGAACTGGGGCTTCCACAATTGCCTCCAGAGATGTTCATCTTGCTTAGTAGGTTCCACACTTCTATTCGCTTAATGTCTTCTCACCTTTCCCATTACATTACATGGGTGTGAAGTTGTCTTTGGTCAGGTGATATACCTGAAATGACAGAATGCGATATAAATAAATTTTGCATTTATCTTTATATAATTTGAAAGCAGGACAAAACACAGCTCACCTGTTTCCAGCTTTTCCTTATTTACCTCCAATCTATTATCTTAAAGTTAGGGAAAAGAGGAAAAAACTATGATTGCACTTATTTGGTCTCTTATGTAGTGCAAATTTCTAGGCAAATTTTCTTATACCACCTGGGAAAGAGAAACTGCCTACATTATGTTAAACTGAAAAGTATTCTGATATCAAAAGGTTTGGAATCATTCATAGTCAGCACTGATTTACTATTATTAAAGAATTTATTGGCCAGACATGGTGGAACATACCTGGAATGCCAGCACAGCAGAGGTAGAGACAGGAGAATTGAGAATTTAAGGGTAGCCTGGCCTGCACAGCAAGACCCTGTCTCAAAAAACCAAGGGCTGGGAATGTAGTTCAGTGGTAAAGCACTTGCCTACCATGTCAGGACCATGGATTCCACCTCCATTATCATCATCATCATAAATTATTATTTTTTAACTTTTGAATTGATGTGAAATATAACACCATACTGAACCAGAAACTGGAAAACATTCTGAACTATCCCTGATTTAACAAGCACCCACAGATACATATACATCTATATACACAAAAAGAAGTCATAAGAGAATAAGACAGGTGGCTGAGATATTAACACACAGGAAGTCTTTGTGATGTATCTCAGATACCACAAAGACTGATGAATACAGAAACTAAGCAATTAGGGTAAAGCTATTTTGTGTCTCTTTCAAAATAAAGGTGAGTGATAAAGTTTGTTACTTAGGTAGTCCCTGAAAATAACAGGCTATTAAGAAATTCAAGTGGATTAATAAACATTTTAACATGTTCCTAAATAAAATCATTAATTAGTGACCATTAAAAAAGCAAAAGAAGAACTGGATGTGAGGCTCAAGTGGTAAGATGCTTGCCTAGCCAGCGGTAGTCCTGGGTTGAAACTCCAGTATCACAAAAGAAAATAAAAAGTAAAGCAAGGCAAAAGATTGCAAATTCCAGGCTAGCCTACCCTATACAATGAGACTATACTCAGGAAAAAAAAAAAAGTAAAATGATTAGCAAATTCACTGAAATCTTATTTGTCCCATTGGCCAATGCCATTGCTAACCACTGCCCAAACAAAAGGTTCTCTTGTTAACCATTTATTGAAGTACCTGATGAAGGAGCTAAAATAAGCAATAAAATTTCTATAGGGAACAAGAGTATGTGTGTGGAACCACTTAGCAACCTGTAAAGCACTACAGAAACAAATACACACTTTCATTAAGCTTTTCAAAAACTGCAGTTAGACTTTTAGAATAATCAGCAAAAGCTGGATATAAGTAGATTGCAAATAATCTTAGGAGTTACTGTTAATGACCTGGCCATTAATTTTTTAAAAGGTTTTTATCTGATAAAGGGCTAATACTGAAGTATTGATGGGGGTGTGCCTCAAGCAGTAGAGCACCAGCCTAGCAAGCTTGAGACCCTGAGTTCAAACCCCAGTACTGCCAAAAAAAAAAAAAAAAAAAGGCGGTGTGTGTGTGTGAAGAGATATATAATGAAGTATTTAAAAGTAAGCCAACGTATTTTCTGGATTGGCTTGAAAATGCACCAGCTAAAACAAACAACAAAAGGGGTGCTGGCTGGGGAGATGAAACAAAACCAGGCGAACTGGACAACTACTAAGTTGAGGGAATTGGTGTATGAGGCGTTCATAATTGTAATCTCTCTCTCGTGCATGCCTATTTCCATATTAAAGTGAGATTAGATGCTCTACCATTAACACAGCTGCTTCCAAGGGCCTACATTATTGTCAGTAAGTCACCATTTATTATGTGTCTAACTGTGAGGGTGAATGGTTACATTCACTATTTTACCTAATCTTCAGGACAATTCTACCAAACAGCTACGATTATTAATTTTATTTTAGAGTTGGGGAACAGGTGTAACAGAAGTGACGTGCCCTAGGACATGGCTCTGTCAAGGCTGGGATTCAGATTGTGAGCACAAAAAAAGAATCCTCTGTAGCAACAACAAAAGCCCCAACAAACCACGTTAATAAAAGCATGCTATTTCTATTAAGTAAATACTTTAAAAGTTTAATTAATGAAAAATTAAATAAACCAAGTTTAGTGCCCTTTAAGAAATGCCTCTATCTTGAGATAGTTAAATCAAGTGCCTTTTTTTCTTTTTTTAAGAAAAATTACCTAAAAACACGATCAGTATCAAGCTTGCAAATTCTGGCTCACAAACCCCTGCACTACTCCACACGCCCAGCACGTTTTGCCGACATCTTTTAGCCCTGAACCGTTATTCGATGCACAGTCAGGAGCCTTCACCTCTCAGACCGTACACCATGGTGGCTCCAAGGATCGACTAGTGACGCTCCATTAGCGTCCCGTGCACTGTGGCCACCACACTCAACTTGCTCATTACGTAATTTCCTGTCACACAGTGAGGCAAGGCAACTGCACCCACGCCGAGGTGCCGCGGCTGTCCCTCTCCGCTCAGCAAGCTTCTCCTGTCTCAGGCGCCCTTCAGGAGTGGCAGAACCAACGGGGTGCAAACGCTCCAAAGGCGACCGCGCGGGAAGCGCGCGCTGCACGCTCGGCGCATGCGCGGGACGGGCTCGGCGCTGGGAGGCGCGTCCTCTAGTGCGCGCGGAGACTTAGGAACACCAGAGAATGCGAGCGGGGTCCGTCACCACTGAATTTAGCCCCGGGTCAGCTTGCATCCGCAGATACAGCCCGAGGGCCTCGCGGCTCCCACAAATCCTGAGCGCCAAACCCCTTTGCTGAGCGCACAGCTCCAGACCGGAAGTAGCCGCTACAACCCAGCGCTCTGGGTAGGGAAAGGAGATTCCTCTTACTCACGGCTTCCAAAGCTGCCTTGAGATTCCCGAAAACCCCGGGAGGGAAGTGGGCGCCCTCGGGGGCTGCGAAGCGATGTCACCTCGCTGTTCTCTTTGGTCCCGTTCACTTATCAAACTGCTAAGCCCTGGCCTGCTGCTCCCCAGGGGTGAGGGAAGGCCGGAGGGCCGCCAGCCCGGCAGGGAGGCGGCCGACCTTCCCGACCCCGCCCCTCCCGGGAGGCTTGCGACGTCACGTGACGTCACGCGGGAGTTCCCGCGGCACTACGCCCCTCCTTCCTGCTGCGGGGCGGGCGGAGAAGCGGGTTTCTGGGGTGGCAGGGGTTGGAGGGCGGTCGCTAGAGAGTGCGGTGCCACCTGTGCGAGCCGCCCGAACTGCCTGGCCACCGCCACCAGGTTTTTGAGATGCCCTGGAGAAAAGTCAAGTCGTTTTTTGGAGCACTTCAAGTTGTTGATGTCATGTGAAAGTTGTCTTAACAATGTATTCTGACCTGGGGCCATCTGCCTAAAAGGAGTTAAAATTATGTGGGAATGGACAGGAATCCATCTCTGCCCTTTGAGCCTTACAGCTGTTGCCTACAGTTTTGTCGTGTGACCTTGACAGGCCTGGGTGGCAATGTCATATTTCAAAACGCTGTCTATTTCGCTGAGGTTAGACGGGAAATTTCTGGCACACCTGAAATGAAAAGGAATCAGAAGCGACCACCATTATTTGTAGGGACAGCATGCTTTTAGGTAATTTTTTTAAGTCAAGTTTTCCTGTGACTGTTGTTTTATATTCAAACTGATAGTACGTTTTCCTGTTCATCTTGGATAGGAAAGGAAGCAGTGTTTGGAACCATTAGAAATTCTACAAATGAAAATAAATAGAATTACGGTATCTTTTTAGCCAGCCACCAGTAGTTTTCTGTAAGACTTCTACTTGAGAGAACAGGGGATATTATAATTTTTAAAAGTTGAGTACTTTAAAAATCATAAATGAAAGGTGTAAAAGTGTTCCACCTATCCCAGATCTTAAAGGGTTAATAAATATCCAACTTAGGGGGGCAGGGTTGAACATACCTATATGTGCCATCCTGTCATATAAAAGTTGGTGTCTTTAAAGAAGAGCGCTGCACATTCATTCCTTGTTACAGTAACTTAACACTTTTAAAAACAAATGGATAAATATTGACTATGCCTTTTTTTTTTCTTTTTGTGGATTTAGGGATAGAACCCAGGGCCTCTGAATACCAGGCAAGTGGTCTACCATTAAGCTCAGCCAACTATGCCATTTTTAGTACAACATAGCATAACTGGCAAAGTGAGGCCTCTATAAATGTTTATAATAGAAATAGAGTTTTGGTATAAGTGGAAAGAACCTGTGTTCAGTTTGTTATTTAACAGCATACTTATGGTGTACAGAAAAACTGTCTGAGCAGGATGACCCAACTTCCTGTGGTCTCTGCCTATGACTCTACTTCGTTTACGTAAATCAAAAACCAAAGAAACATCCTTGACAGGTTCCTCACCAAATCCTGTCAATTTTACTTACTAAACATCTCCTAAATCCACCTTGTCTTTATCACTACATCCATAATCTAAAATATTATCTTTTACCTAATCCATTGCTAGGCTATTTTCCATATCCAAACCCTTTCCCTTCTTTGGTGTTCAGGGAAATTTTTAAGCATCTATTCTCAATTTGTGCATATAACTAATTTAAAATTATGTGTGTGTGTTGCTGAAAAAAATGGTACATAGTCTAATGAGTAAGGTACAATCTTTGGAACCAGATCCCCTTTGTTTGAACCCTGATTTTATACTTCCCGAGTGACCTTGGACTGGTTGTTTCATCTCTGTCACATTTTTCCTGTGTGTAAAGTGAGGATTACAATAATACCAATGTGGTATTAACAGGGTATGAAGATGAAGTGAATATATGTAAACCACTTAGTGCAGTGTTCAGATATATAATATATGCTCAGTAAATACTAACCATTAGGTTGGGTCTGGTGATGCAATATGTAATCTCAGCACCTGAAATGTAGAGACAGGAGGAACCTGAGCTACATAGCAAAACCTTGTCTCAAAAAAAAAAAATTAAGTAGAAAACTAGCCATTATTAGTGCTTCTGAGCTAACAGACTGAATATTACAATGCTGTGTGTGTGTGGTACTAGGGAATGAACTCCTCACTTGCTAGACAAGTGCTCTACCACTTGAGTCACATACCCAGTCCTTTTTTGTTCAGTTTATTTTTCAGATAGGCTCTCACACTTTTGCAGTGTTTTTGCCTTAGCTGGCCTTAGACTTCCATCCTCCTACCTCCGCCTCCTGAGTAGCTGAGATTATAGATGTGGGCTACAATGCATGTCTTACAACAAACTTTTAAAGACATTTTAAAGGATAAAAAGTATATAATTAAAAACATATCTTTTCCCCCTACCTTAAAGTGTGTCCACTTCAAGAACACTTCTCTACATTATAGCACTGTGACCTTGAAAAGTAAATCCAATAATGTCACTATACAGCCCTTCAGTGGCTTCCTGTTGCTTTTGAAAGCCGGTTTGAACTATGCCTGCTGCCTCTCCAGCTTATTTTCATTTTCTGTTCTCAGCCTCCCTGGCCTGGTAGTCATCTCCTAGGCATTTGCATGCTGTTGTTACTGCTTGAGAATTCTCCACCAAAACTACCCCTACCCTTTGCCTAGCTATTTACCAGTCATGTTTTTACTTTGTTCCAGTAGACTCTTAGTTCCTTTTGTAGCACCATGTACTCCCTATCCTATACTTTTTTTACAGCTTTAGTTATTTAATTAATTCTGTCTCTCCCCACTAGACTTACGTTTCTTAGGTCAACAACCATGTCTTGTTAACCTTTTTATCTCCGTAAACTATCACCTAGTAGCTGCCACAAGAGTCAGTACTCTGGATAAATGAATAAATTGGCATCCCTTGATGAATTCCTATTTTTTAATGTACATGGAAACCTTTGGATATGTTCAAATAGCTTAGATTGCCAGGTGTGTTGGTGCATTCCTGTAATCCCAGCATTCAGGAGGTGGAGGCAGGAGGCCAGCATGGATGACATAGGGAGACTATATCTCAAAACATAAAAAAAAAAAAAACTCTTAGACTTTTCTATATGGGATTTTATAATGATCACTTTAACAATAGCGGCCATAATTATAGATATTTGCTTCCGTAGGAATTTTCTAAATTATGAAGTCCTAAAGATTTGCTAAGAAAACATCTTTATCAGAAAAAGCAGTTACTTTAAACTCTTCATAATACTGAGTTTTTTATGTTTTATGGCTTAAAACAGCACTTCCAAAGCTTTTCAATTTTAGCATACTTAGAAAATGAATACCAATGGCCCCCACTTTAAGATTATTCACTTTCTGATTTTTTGACTTGGCAATGGTGTGAAAGAGATCTGTGTTTTAGTAGAAACCAGGCTTCAAATTTTGACTTTTGATCTTTTCCTGGGCTAGTCATGTACTGTGTGATTCTCCGTCATGATGCTGGGCAGCTCCTTGTTAGTTAGGTGATCAGGAAGGAAAATAACTGACACTCTACAGGATACTGTGGTGCTAAACTAGGATGTTCAGTAGGTTAAATGTATTAAATGCATTTTCAGCTTAAACTATTTTTAATTCACCGTGGGCTTATTGGGATGCAGCACCATTGTAAGTGGAGGAGCATCTGTGCTGGCATTGTACATTGTGATAACAGAGTAAGGCTGCTTCCACCCAGAGACGATAGACATTGGGACTACCCCACACCCAGCACTGCCACCTGGAGGGCTGGGGATATAATGTCTCAGCGCATCTGCAACCCATCAGAGGCCTGGATGGGACACTCAGTTTAAAAATTGTGTGGTGAAATGGGTCAAAATGGTAAATTCTATGTTAATGTATATTTAACCACAACTTGAAGAAAATTGTGTGGTAGCAATAAAGTGTTAGGATTCTTAAAATTAGAATTTGGGAACACATGTAGATTTTAACATCATTTACTCAAGCCATTTATTTTACAAATGTTATTGATTCTAGTTTACGGTTAATTCCTATAGGTAGATAGCTGAGTATTTGAAGGGAAAATCACATATCAGGTTAGACTGTTCACACTAAAATTACATGATTTTAAACTGCATGCAGGGCATTAGTTAATCCTTAAAATAACCGTTGTTCAACTCCTGTTTGTTTTGCTGTCTTTAACCTTCACAATATTCCTCAAGTCTCTATAGTATTTTCACTTTCAGATGAAAAGCTAGTCCAGATTAAGTAAGACAATTGAACTCAAAAGGTATGAGCTTCCTAGGCTTCCTCTTTTTTCCTTTCTTAGCTCTCTGAATTAGGCAGTCCACATTAAATATAAAAATACAACCTTAATCCAATTGCTTCTCACCACCTCCTTTGCATGGGCCTCAGTCTAAGACATCAGCAACCTCATCTACAGCAGTGCCCTCTCCTGAAATGTTTTTAATCAATTATCTTCCCCTCCTCCCTCATTTTCCCTTACTATATATTCTCCAATGGCAGTCAGAGTGGTCCTTTAAAATCTTCCAGATTATCATTCCCATGGTCAAAATGTCACAGGGTGTTCCCATCACTTTAGCATAAGATACAAACACCTTCCTATGGTCAGGACAAGTCAATCACTACAGTCTACTGATATTACCTCCTAAATATAATTTGAGTCTTTCCATCCCTACTCTTGTTGCCCTAGTTTAGGCCCTGTTTCTTATTTAAATGACAGCCTTTCTGCCATATCACCTTAATCTAGTCTCCACACAGCTGCCTGAGATCTAAGCCTTTATTTCTGACCTTATCACTCTTTGCTTAAAACCTTTCATTGACTATCCATTGCCTAAAGGTTAAAATTCAGTCCCTTTAAAATGTCACAGAAGCCTTTAAGACTCAGGTAGTCCTGCTCCCAATAGACAAACCTAGTATTTCCCTTACTCCTCCTTCCTATCCACTTCCACAAATGGC